TTTCCTTGGCAGTTGTCTTATGTCTCTGGCATCTCAAACATCTTGGAAATTCTGTCAAAAATTTGTTTTTACATTCATAGCTCCATGTAATTCTCTGAGGGCCAAGGTATCAGAAGCTTTATGCTGTCATTGATCTCTTCATTCGTCATTTAAAGAGCAGTGAATGTGTAAAAAAGGGGAAAAATGGAGAGAATATATACTTGAAAGTAATTTCTTCTTGTCACACAGATGTTTAGTGAAGATTACAGCTGTGTGATAGTTTAACCCAGCAGCATATAACATTTGGGGAGACCTTTCACTAGAATTGGAGAGAGACCAGAGAGGGCTCATGACACCATAGAAAACTAGATCATTTAGTATAGTGAAAGAAATGCCTTGATGTAGACAGAGTACAGTGGACAATAAGAGGTGATATAAATGCAATCACCAAATAATGAAGGATGCAGAGTCTCAACTGGACATCTTTTGTCACAAAATAGAGCTTCAAGAAACAGGAATAAGTTACACTCATTGAGTTGTTGACCAAAGGGGTACCCTGGGAATCCCCAAACAACCCAGGCTCTTTCTAAGGGTATAGGTTGCTCTACATAAACTGACAGCAAGGCCCCATTGCTGAAGACAACACCTACACATTTTATTAAATATGGAAGTTCAGCTAGTGCCTACATCGAGCTTTGAACCCAATCTTCTAGTATCTTTAGTACAGGAAGGTACTTTGCACTGCTGCTAAAGGAAAACATAAACATCATAAACATCAAGCCAGCCATAGAAGCTTTGATCTACAATGCTGTCCCTGCCTGTAAAATATGCTAGGGCAACGGTAAATTAAAACTTCCGAGTCACCAACCAATATTTAGGTTGACTTAATGTCCACTCCATAAGATGTAACTCAAATCTGACAGTGCTTGGGTGACCAAGAACCAGAAACTCAATAGCCCAAGCACATATGGTAAAACCACGATCCTAAAAACAAAACAAAACAAAATTAGCAATAAAATTACTCCTAACAACATTCTGCTATACTCATAGCAGACATTATGCAGAGAGTGAGAGACCTTGGAACAATCCTCAGCCCTAAGTGGGATGGCTCCACCATTTGCCTATCCTTGCTGCTCAGAGAACCACACGGAAGAGGAGGAAAAAAAGTGTTAGAGCCAGAGGAGACAGAGAATATCAAAAAACAAAAAAACAAAACAAAAAAAAAACAATGCCATCTAAATTTCCATAATCAAAGCTCATAGGAACTCACAAACTGAGTCAACATGTACAGGCCATTAACAAGTCTGTATTATGCTTTCTGCATATATGTCTAATGACTGGACAATGAGTCAAAGCAAGTAGCTATGATAGTAGAGACAGCGGTTAGCTAGTGGTCACTGTAAAACTACTGTTTTTCACCAGTCCCAGAGAAGTGCCTGAAATGATTACCTTTCGAATCCACAATAATTCAAATCACTGATAGTCTGTGAAGCTGCTGACACTGACAAACTTTCACCATAAAAAGGGTGAGGAAACACATTCCTCATCTTTACTTCTTTCGTGATCTCTGACTATAAAAAGCATATGGTACTAGAAAAGGGTTAATCTTCACAAGGCATTTTATCCAATCCAGCAGTGAAACCTTCTGAAGGCATCACATAAAGGACTGTGTGTTGGATTATCCAGTTCTCATGATGAACAGTACAGATAAGATGTTAAAGTTTCAGGACGAGACAGGTGCTTCAAGGATTGAAAGAACAATTATGAATTAGGGAATTAGAACCTGTTGACACTCTTACAGATATAAGGTCAAAATAATGGTGTTGAAATCTCTTATCTCACTCCTCACCTTGTGGAAAAACATTACCCCACATTCCCCTGACAAGTTCAAAAAAGGCTTCTTTGAGATGGAACTGAGAGTAGCTTTGCTCAGGAATAAGAATATTTCTTCCCAGATAACTTTCATCCAAGGTTTTAAAAATTTACTCTGAGAATAAGGCCCACATTGGAAGGCAACAGAATTTGTGAGCCTCAAGGACCACTATTTCTCCCCTGTCTTATTATATCCAACCCTGTTTATTCCTCAACAAAATCTGGATCCTAATCTGGAAGCACTGTCTTTTTTTATTTTATTATTTTATTTTATTTTATTCACAATTTATTCATTATATATCCCAATTTAAGCCCCCTCCCCTCAACTACTCCCAGTCCCATCCTCCCTCCCTCCCCTATCCTCTTCCCTGGTCCACTGAGAGGGAGTACTCCTCTTCTGCCATCTGCCCATAGCTTATCATGTCTCATCAGGACTGAGTGGATCCTCTTCAACTGTGGCCTAGCAAAACCACATCGCCAGGGGCAAGTGATCAAAGTGCAGGCAATCAAGTTCATGACAGAGGTAGCTCCTGCTCCCCTTACTCAGGGCCCACATGGAGACTGAGCTGCCAATCAGCTACATCTAAGCAGGGGGTCCAGGTTCTCTCCATGCAGGTCCTTGGTTGGTGCATCAGTCTCTGCATGACCCCCCCCCCAGCCTCAGATTTTTTAGCTTTGTTGGTCTACTTGTGGGGCTCCTATCCCCTCCATGTCCTTCTATTCCCCGCTTCTTCTGTAAGAATCCCTAAGCTCGGCCAAAAGTTTGTCTGTGAGTCTCAACATCTGCTTCGATCCCCTGTTGGGTGGCAGCCATTCAGAGGACCCTCTATAGTGAGCCCCCATCCTGTTTCCTCTCTTCCACCACTTCTGGTGTCTATCCTGTTTGCCATTCAGAATGAGATGTAAGCATCCTCCCTAGAGTACTCCTTAGTGTTTAGCTTCTTTAGATCTGTAGATTTTAGTAAGGCTATCCTATATACAGCTAATATCTGCTTATAAGTGAGTGTATAGCATGCCTGTCTTTCTGGTTCTTGTTTATCTCACTCAGTATTATCTTTTCTAGTTCCATCTATTTGCCTGCAAATTTCATGATATCCTTGTTTGTAATAGCTGAGTAGTATTCCATTGTGTAAATGTGCCACAATTTCTTCATCCATTCTTCCGTTGAGGGACAACAAGGTTGTTTCCAGATTCTAGCTACTACAAACAAAGCTCTATGAACATAGTTGAATAAATGTCCTTGTTAAATGTTGGGGAATCTTTGGGTTATATATCCAGAATGGTAGAGCTGGATCTTGAGGTAGTGCTATTCCCAATATTCTAGAAAGTTCGAGATTGATTCCAAAAGTGGTTGTACATGTTTGTACACCCACCAGCAGTGGATGAGGGTTTTCCTTTCTCCATAACCTCACCAGCATGTGTTGTCACTTGAGTTTTTCATCTTAGCCATTCTGATCAGTGTAAGATGGAATCTCAGAGTTATTTTGATTTGCATTCCCCTGATGACTAAGGATGTTGAGCATTTAAGTGTTTCTCTGTCATTCTATAGTCTACTGATGAGACTTCTCTGTTTAAGTCTGTACCCCAGAATTGAATTGGATTGTTTGGCTTGTTAGTGTCTAATTCCTTGAGTTCTTTATATATAGTGGATATTAGCCCTCTATCAGACGTGGGGGTGGTGAAGACCTTTCCCATTCTGTAGGCTGTAGTTTTGTTCTGTTGTCAGTGTCCTTTGCTTTACAGAAGCTTTTCAGTTTCATGAGGCCCCAATTATTTATTGTTGATCTTAGAGCCTGAGCTGTTGGCGATCTGTTAAGGAAGTTTTCTCTTGTGCCAAAGAGTTTAAGGCTCTTCCCCACTGTTTTTATGTTGAGATCTTTGATCCACTTGGACTTTAATTTTGTGCAGGGTGATCAATACGAGTCTATTTGCATTTTCTACATGTGGACATTCAGTCAGACCAGCACCATTTGTTGAAGATACTTTCATTTGTCCATTGTATTGTTTTGACATCTCTGTCAAAAATCAAGTGTCGATAGTTGTGTGTGTTTATTTCTAGGATTTCAATTCTATTCCATCGATGCATCTGTCTGTTTCCATGCCAGTACTATGCAGGATTTTTATTATTATTATATTTATTAATTACAGTTTATTCACTTTGTATCCCCCCTGTACCTCCCTCTCTCCTTTTCTCCCAACCCCACCCTCCTTCATCCCCACTCATGTCCCTCTCCCAGTCCACTGAAAAGGGAGGTCCTCCTCCCCTTCCCTATGCTCCTAGTCTATCAGATCTCTATCAGGTAGCTGCATTGTCTTCTTCTGTGGCCTGGTAAGGCTGCTCCCCCCTCAGAGGAAGGTGATCAAAAGCAGGCCAATCAGTTCATGTCAGAGACAGTCCCTGTCCCCATTACTATTGAGGCCACTTGGATACTGAACTGCCATAGGTTACCTCTGTGCAGGGGTTCCAGGACATCTCCATGAGTGGTCCTTGGCTGGAGTATCAGTTTGAGAAAAGACCCTTGCGTCCAGACTTTTAGGATCTGTCGCTGTCCTTGTGGAGCTCCTGTCCTCTCCAGGTCTTACTATTTCCCACTTCTTTCATAAGATTCACACTTTGAACAGAGTACAGGGAATCTGTCTTTCATTTTTAAACTGCACCATCTTTAAAGCCTAGTTGAGACTTCCTGTATTAAGACCTCACAACTTTGTATATGGAGTCTCTGTTAGTGGCAGATTATTTTATTGTGACTATCTACTTTATTTTTTCTGATTGATCACTCTTTCCTGTGATTGGAAAAATGAATTATTTACATATATCTTAAGAAGCCCCATACAAAAACGCAAGCTGCGTTTTTTACACTCTGTGAATAAAAATTCTAGTGGTGAGATTATTTCTTTGGTTGTTTATAGCTTTGGCAACCTAAAACTAGAGATCTGAGGAGGAACAAGGAAAGAAATATGTCATGGAAGAAAGATCAGGAAAATTGCCAGGTTATCATCACTTAAATTGGAATCTAGTTTTGCCTTTCTTGTTCTTATTGGCCAATGAAGAAAGTTATAAAAATAGTTGGCTACTTAGCAGCCCATGATAAATCATCATCTAGCTCATTTTTATTTCCAAACCTGCTGCAATAGTTAGCAGCTCATCAATGGGAAATTTACAGGAACTGGGCATTGTTCTGCTATTCTGCATGCAAACTGGTAAGTACTAGAAGCCTGGTCTCATAACAGCTATGGGGTCAACTTAGTTTTAACCCTGACATAGTTTTAGTAAACCCTTTTTTAAACATATTCTTGGGACTATGGGAGTAAACTGGACTTCTGAGGAATAATGTCTAGTTTCACGAAAAGAGAAGCTTCAGTCCTGGCCACCAGACTTGCTTTTCCTTGGATAGATTTTTCCTTAACCTAGTCTTCACTAGGGCCCTAACATGACCTCTGTGTCTTCTATATTCCCTAGGTTAGCATTTAATCTGTAGAGTGAGAATTTGAAGTCCTCACCTGAGGACTGTTACCTAATCTGAAACTAGAATTTAGCCCCAACTCTGGCAATTCAGGGGAAGCTCTATACGCTTCCTTCTGCTTACAGTAACTACAGAAAGGCAGAAAAGGAACCAAGGGCAGTGTGGTGACGTGTAGAATCTTCAGTCTCCCTGCTTGCCAGTTTTGTGCTTGACTTCTACAGAGAGAGGATTAGATCATCTGTTTGTCTTGTCTTGTTTATGGATTAAAACATGCTGCTGCCTATCTATAAGACAAAACCTTCATGAAGTCAAGCTGCCTGGGAGTCTAAATGTTTCCCTTCTTTTTTCAGCACAGTCTTTCTCTTTATTGATTGCAGCTTTAGCTCTCAGGTGTAGAGAATGTACATCCTATTTATTTCAAGAATGTAAACATAAAGTAAGAACATGTATTGCAGAAGACGATGAATCTTGTATGATTACTAGACTCTGGCTTCTACCGTTCAACGGTAAGTAGAGTGCTCACTTAATGTGGGAGGAGCCAACGACTGTGCCTCTTTTTCCTCAGGGCTCAGATTCATTCCCATGACAAGGCAGTCCTAATAATAGAATCAGTTGAGCTTAAGATCTCCATAGAGCCTGGAATCCAGCAGGTGTTTACCAAGTGCTTTGTGCTTACTTCCTTGAGAGGGAGCAGTCATTGTTTGCTTCAATATCTATAGTGACAAGCCAGTATGGGACAAAACGATGTTATAGAGAAATACTTTGTCATTTAACATACTTCGCTTTTACTTGGATTTGTGGTTTCCTTCATTCAAAAATATATATTGAATCTATTTTTATCTCCCACAGTGAATGAGCCAGAGGATGGATATTCTAAGTGCCAGAAAAACTGTACAAGAGATGATTATAACTACAATGATCATGCCGTATTGATATCCTGTTGTGATACATATGACTTCTGCAATGATATCACTGTGCCAATTGATGAGTGGTATTGAAGAACCTTCAGATTATTTTATGGCTTCCTCATGTTTTCCTCATCTTCTTTCTAATTTAAATTTCTATTTCTATTTCATTTTTACTCTAGACTAAAGACTTCCCCACCATCAGAAATTTGTGGCACTGAATCTGGCCTCATGATAGTCTAAGTGACCATACATCTCACTTCTTACTCTTACTCTTTCCCTTTAAACCAATATAGACACAGATGACCATTGCTTTCAATAAACTCTGTCATTGCCCCAGGAAGGGATGGTCCCATCGATGATGAGAAAAAGGAACCTTCATCAGTGCAGAGCATGAAAACAGCTGCTGACTATGATAAGCAGACTTCATACATGTGCTTAAGAACCAAAGACTCACCATACAATGTTTCCATTAAAATGGAAGAAGGTAGACTACAAGGGGAAACACGATGTATATCGCAGTGAGAGTGAGGAATATCAGCTGTATTAGTTGTTTGGGACCAGATCCTGGAGAATGTATTCATGTGTGTGATTTTTAATTTTCCTTCTTTCTTTTTTAACAGCTTGTCCTCTGATGCATGCACAGCTATAAAACATTTTGTACAGTTGACAGAACAGGCATTAAAACATCTGTTTCTGAAACCTAAAGCCTTCATACCAACTATGATGTTTATTATACTGTAACTAAAGCTCCACATTTAATTAATGCTTATGGCTTGGGAGGATGGTCCAATATCAATCCCAGTATGAAAATCAGTGGGGAATATAGAGTTGATTCTCCTCACTATGAAATTTCCTTTGCCATGTGTTGTTACCTCTTAAAAGTTGTTTTGATATCCCTAAGTGGGAAATTATGATGGATATACACTCATTTCCTACAAAATATTTTGTTTTCTTCTCCTTCCTCAATACCTCCATGTCATGCCAGAGATTACATTTCATCCCAGACACTTTCTGTATGATCTGAGAACAACTGAATCAAATAGCTAGCATTTGGTTGAGAGCCTTCTGTAGAGATTTTCTGAAATTTGTTCTGAGGAGAATTAATGACCATAATTTGCAAGAGCCATATTTTACAAATAAAGAAAGGCATCTAGAAAACATTTCCCTGAGTGAAAGCAGGATGGAGAAAACCATAGGTACAAGGGTGGAGCACCAAGAATGATCTGAATGGAAGATTTCCATGTATTGTTTGTTCTTATTTTAGTGTTGACAATAAATCAACTACATAATTTGTTGGTTTGTGAAAGATGTTCTTTCCTGAGCAATTCTGATGCTTCTTTTCTCCTGGAAGCCTCTGTGTTTTAAAATTGTTATAGTTCCTTTGACAGCATAGAAACTGCAGATAATTGCTCTAATATTGGCTGAACACACACTCCAGAATCCTGAACTGGCCTTTGAAAACAGCACTCCAATCTAGACACAACTCAGTCGGTTCCAGGATCAACATCCTACTTATGCCACAGCTATTTTCACAAAGGCAGAGCTGTCCTGTTTACTTTTTTGTTGACTGGGCACACAAGATAAAAATATCTGAAAAGATGAACCTTAGTAGAAAAAATACCTTCTCAACATTCCTACATAGCTTCTGATTTACTTTTAGATTCCAGATTCCAGATTCCAGCCCTGGCTTTCCTTCAAGAAAGAGAAATGGAGAAAGCTACTGGATCATCCATCAGGATTCTTATTTTACTGTGATTTCTTTCTTTCTTCCTTTTTTTAAGGTTTTATAAATATTTATTTTTTAATTTTTTTTACAATTTATTCATTTTATATCCCAATTGTAGCCACCTCACTCATCTACTTAGTCCCACCCTCCCACCCTCTTCCACCAATCCCCTTCTCCTATTTCTCTAAAAGGGGAAGTCCTCCTACACTGCCATCTGATCCTAGCTTATAAAGTCTCATCTGAACTGCCAGGGTCCTTTTCCTCTATGGTCTAGCAAGGCTGCATCACCAGGGGAAAGTGATCAAAGAGCAGGTAGCCAACTTCATGTCAGAGACAGCCCCTGCTCCCCTTACTTGGGAACCGACATGGAGATTGAGCTGTCTGTGGGCTAATCTGAGCAGGCTGTCCAGGTCCTCTCCATGCATGGTCCTTGGTTGGTGCATCAGTCTCTTCAGGCCTCCTTGAGCCCAGAATTTTTGGTGTCATTAGTCTCCTTGTGGAGCTCCTGTACCCTCAGGGTCTTTCTATTCCCCTGTCTTCCACAAGATACCATACACTCTGCTCAAAGTTAGGTTGTGATTCTCAGCATCTTCCTCCAACCCCTGTTGGACAGAGCCTTTCAGGGAACCTCTATGGTAGGCTCCTTTCTTTCTCCCTTTCTTCCACAACTTCTGCTGTCTGTCCTGTTTGCCATTCTGAATGAGACTGAAGCATTCTCCCTGGGGTCCTCTTTGTTGTTTACCTTATTTAGGTTTGTAGATTTTAGTATGGTTTTCCTATATTATATGGCTAATATCTACTTATAAGTGAGCATATACCATGTGTGTCTTTCTAAGTCTGAGTTACCTCATCCAGGATGATCTTTTCTAGTTCCACCCATTTCCTTGCAAATTTCATGATTTCCTTGTTTTTAATAGCTGAGTAGTATTCCATTGTGTAAACTTCCCATAATTTCTTTATCCATTCTTCTCTTGAGGGACATCTAAGTTGTTTCCAGATTCCAGCTACTACAAATAAAGCTGTTATGAACATTGTTGAGCAAATGTCCTTGTAGAATGGTGGAGCATTATTAGGGTATATGACCATGAGTTTTACAGTTGGATCTTGAGGTAGGGCTATTCCCAGTTTGCTGAGAAAATACCAGAAAGCACCCAAAGTGGTTGTACAAGTTTGCACTCCCACCAGCAATGGAGGAGGGTTCCCCTTTCTCCACATCCTCTCCAGCATGTGTTGTCACTTGAGTTTTTTATCTTAGCCATTCTGATTGGTGTAAGAGGAATCTCAGTGTCATTTTGACTTGCAATTCCTTGATGACTAAGGGTGTTGAGCATTTCTTTAAGTGTTTCTCTGCCATTAAATATTTCTCTGTTGAGAATTTTCTATGTAGCTCTGTACCCCAGTTTTTAATTGGATTATTTGGTTTGTTGGTGTCTAATTTCTTGAGTTCTTTATATATTATGGATGTTAGCACTCTGTCAGATGTAGGGTTGGTGAAGATCTTTCCCAGTCTGCAAGCTGTTGTTTTGTTTTGTTGACAGTTCCTTTGCTTTACAGAATATTTTCAGTTTCATGAAGTCCCTTTTATTTATTGTTGATGTTAAAGCCTGAGCTGTTGGTGTTCTGTTCACGAAGTCCTCTCCTGTGCCAATGAGTTCAAGGCTTTTCCTCACTTTTTCTTAAAACAGATTTAGTGTTTCTGGTTTTATGTTGAAGTCTTTGATCCACTTGGACATTAATTTGGTGTAGGGAGATAGAAATGGGTCTATTTGCATTTTTTTCTGCATATGGAAATCCAGTTAGACCAGCACCATTTGTTGAAGAAGCTATCTTTTTTATTGTATGGCTTTGTCATTTTTGTCAAAAATCTGTTGTTCGTGGGTGTGTGAGTTTATTTCTGGGTCCTTTATTTTATTACATTATCCACAGTCTGTTTCTATAACGCTTGCCATGTAATTTTTATTATTGTTCTTCTATCATACAGCTTAAGACCAGAGATAGAGATACCTTCTGAAGATCTTTTATTGTAAAGGATTTTTTTTAGCTATTTGGGTTTTTTTGTTTGTTTGTTTGTTTGTTTTTCCATATGAAATTGGGAATTATTCTTTCAAAGTCTGTAAAGATTGTGTTGGTGTTTTGATGGAAATTGCATTGAATCTATAGATTGCTTTTGGTAAGATGGCCAATTATTCCTACAACTCCATGAACATGGGATATCTTTCCATCTTCTGATATCTTCATCAATTTCTTTCTTCAGAGACTTGAATTTTTTTTTATACAAGTCTTTCTCTTGGTTAGAGATATGCTTCTTCTTGAGATAGGGCCCAACTGGTGCCCTGTCAGCCATACAGATGAACAAAAAGAGCTCACTATCCACTGCCAATCATTCATGGGGTGAATCATTATGTCATCAACACTTGCAACTCATGAGTCACTTCACACACTAGGCCTAGGTAGCAGTCAGTGGATGCATAATTCTTCTCCAAAGACAGCAGACCCAGAGGAGGACAAATGTACAAGTGTCCTGCCCTAAAGATCTTTTGAATTCATCATAGCCTAAAAGTAGGGAGTAGGAAAAAATTCAAGCTATTCTGAGTCAATCAGCTTCTAGAATTGGGTGATGCAGCAGCCTGGACACATTGATCTTTGGCCCAAGATAAAGAGAATCATCCCACTGTTGGTCTGTGCTTCTCAAACTTGAACCATCAATTTTAAACTATAGCACTTCTTGTCCACTTTGTGTGACAGCCTGTACTTTCTCCCACATATGATTTTCATACACTTATCTCAAAGTTACAGTCAATTCTCTGGGCCCATTCTGTCACTCATAGTACGCAACCTGTGATCCAGTAAGACCTGAGGCTCTGAATCAGAGACACAAGAATAGAGAAGCCTCTGATTTCTCAGGTGGAAAGCTGAGATTAACCATCAAAAAAGATAATTTATTCTTATATTTATCCATGTTGTATCAATCAGGAGCTTTCTCTAGAATCTCTAATCACAGCTCACAACTTTGTGGTCCAATTCTGCAAGTAGAGAACAGCTGTATTAATTTAATTTATATATATTGAATCTTGGTCTATGAATATTATCTGAAGATAATCACATTGTTGTTGTCTTTGTAGATCTGCATTCATTTAATTCATAACAAATACAGAACAGGAGGGCCAAGATGGCGGCGCCAAGAAAACACGGTGTCTGAGAAGTGGGACAACACACATCGTGCAGTGACCAGGAGACTGAACTCTGGGCCCTAAAACAACAGCTATTGTGTTTCCCAGGTGAGGGGAGGCTCCCATGGCATGGGAATCGGTCGGGTCCACTCTCAGCTGCCCAGCCAGAGCCCGGAAGAGAACCCGGCTAACGC